GAATTGACAGATGAGACAAACTCCTGGTGATTTGTGTTGCATATGCTTTCGATTTCGGACTCCTTGTCGCCCGCGAACCGGGATAGTGACTGCAGCAGTTGTGGAGTGCGGTTTCCAACGCTGTAATCTCTGATCGAGGGAATTAGTTGATCCAGATAGTCTGTGTCAGAGGGTGAGATGATAATCTACGGATAAGAAGTTAGTTTTGTTTAAGTAGACTCTCCAACGTGTATGGGCTAGCTCACTTGGTTCAAGACATGTGGCTCATTGAGCATTGGAGCCATAGGTGGCATAGTGACTCGGCCTCATAACCAGACGGGAGCCTAACAGTCTCAATACTTCACACTTGTTAGGCTTGCAATCTTATCCAGGGTAGATGATAGCTTATAGGTAGTTGACGTCCACAGGCGGTCAGATGTTCCATCTGCCACCAATGTTCATGACCGCTTTTGAGAGACTAACCCTACCTTGAATTAGCGTAATCACTAGCGTAAACCTTAGCCAATATCAAATGTATACCTGTGCGAGATTATCATTCTTCCAAGGCTGTTGTTTCTAACACCGTTTTTCCATTTTCCATTTTTTACACACAACGCCATAATTTATTCGTTCTTTGGCACCTTTCTATCACAACTTCATCAATTTTCTCACCCGCGAAGAGACCGTGGGAACAACACGTCTGATACCCACTGTTATACAGTAAAACAGAAAGCAGTGATCACCCACACTGCTGACTAGGGACATTGGAACTTCTCGCTGTGATCCTATGTCAGCGATATTATTATGGTCATTTACTATGATAATATCTCTAACATAGGCTCACAACGAGTCATTCCATAAGGCTCAGTATGAGAGCATATCGGAGACACTATGAGGTTGAAGGCAGATAGAGAACTCTACACCTAGCCTGCCTGGTGACTAGGTATATGCTACGACACGCGCTCAACTGGCTAAGCAGCCCTTCGACTTGTTGCCATTTGGACCCCCCGGGACTAGATATATGCTGCGACGCGCGCTCAACGGGCTGTTCATTCCCTTGTTTCGGTCCGTTCGACGGGGATGAGTCGTTTTGCGGTTTGCAATTTCCCCCTTTGGCCGGCTTAACGCGCGCTGCTACAAGTGTGACTCGGCCGTGAGATATAAAAGGCCTGCTCTACCTTCCCTTTTTTTTCTCCTCGAACTATTTCTCTTACCCTCGCTACATCGCGCCCCTTGCTGAATAGGTCAAACAACTTGCTACATTGTATGTGGACTTGTCTTTTTAACACGATTGTTGCTTCTCTGCTCACCTCCTCATTACTTCAGGATTGAACATGGAGAAGTCTTCTCCAACTCGAGGATCGCCATCGGAGCAGCTTACTGCATTCAATCCGATGGGGTATGAAACTTTCACTCACCGAGAGAACCCTGTTTCGTTCCCTGGAACAGAGACAATCCGTCCAACTGGGTAAGATAATTGTTACTGTTTTATATATTGACGACCAAAGCCCTAATACGTTTGACGCGCCTAACAGTGATCCGTTTGCTGGTTGGTCCAATGAGACAGGGTCTGCGCCTAGTATTCCTTCATCTCAAACCACCACTGTAGGCTCTGCTACTGGCTATGCCTATCCAGCGCCCGCTACCCTTGATCAGGCAAACACTCAGTACCAGTACTCATCTGTTTCTCCTCGCCTGACTCGCACAATTAACGCGACTCACACTGTCATCGGACAATCCCAGGTCCCGTCTGTTTCACCTCATGTGTCTCCCACAAACCCTGGTCCTGGTGGAATGCTATACTCGCCTTCCCATGCCCAGGCATCTCGGTCGCTGGATTACATGACATACTCGCCTCGTTCTTCGACTCATACTCAGGCGCGCCTGGGAGCATCTCAGTATCTGCTCTCTCCTGTTCAGACAAGTATTGCCAACGCTCAGTACTCACCATCGCGTGAAGATATCACTTATGAATACAACTCGACCCCGGATTTTATATCTAGCTTGCTCGCAACCACCCAGGATTCCACAGTTAGAGATGCCGCTGCCTCTGCCAACGCATTGACCCATATTTCCCGCGGTAACCAAGCCGCTCGCGCCTCTGGTACAACCATACTGTCTTCACAATCCCTCTCCGGTGGAACTCATGATGTTACTGAAAAGCATCGAAGCTTTATCGTGCGCAATGTCCCTGTCGACACCGCCCACCGCTCGATTGTTATGATGTTTCCCGTAAGTCGTAATACTAACCTGCTCATGGGATAGACCAAAGCTGACTCTATTAAGATTGACGAATACCCCTCCCTTGAGGATGTTTGTCTCAAGCACGTTGAGACTCAGGGCGTGTTCTCGTTTTCGTTTGGTGACCTTCGAGAGGCTATCCACGCCATGAACAAAATTCGCCAAACTCGTCCTGCATGGCGCGTCATGCCTGCCAATTGCAAAGATATTGCTAAGTTCAAGGGAAAAAACGAAGCTAATTCCCCTTTCACTGTTAATCAGGATGGTGCATTCCTGCTTTCTGTGTACACCATCCCAAACCAGTGGCTCATGGAACCTATGGACGATGTTGTTCGACAGGTCGTCACTTCCCTTGGGACCCCGCGTTCTTGCAAGCTTGCTGGGAATGGAACTAACATGAGTCGATACCAAGTTGAATATTTCAACAGGCGTCACGCGGCTTATGCTTTTTCATGTCTCAATGGGTTCAAGCTCGAAGTATTTTTTTTCTCTCCCTTGCTTTTGTGTTCTTTGAAAGCGGAATGCTAACATTGGGTTTTTGCAGAGTCTTCGTTTCAATGTCTCTATTGATGCACAGGAAGAGATTCCCGTTTTGTCTCATCTTCGAACTACCAGCTTTGGCTCCCCTCAGAGCCCCGTTACGCCGTATCACCTCGTGTCCAAGGAGACTGAGGTCGATGAGAAGGTCGACGTTTCTCCGGCTCTTGAGGAGGGTCAGACGAGCGCAGAGCATGCTATTAATCTCGACCGAATCAGGCAAGGGCTAGATGTTCGCAGCACTGTAAGTCTTCACACATCTGCTGCAAGACTGATTTCTCACATACTGTCTCGTTACAGGTCATGATCCGCAACATTCCCAACAAGATAACATCGGTATGGTTATCTCCATCTTCTTGTGGAAACCATCAATGCGAATTCGATCTGATTATTCAATAGGACCAGTTGAAGAGCATCCTTGACGAGTCCAGCCATGGGAAGTATGACTTCGTCTACCTGCGCATGGGTAAGTGCTTCTCCATGATTTATTCTTTTGTTCAGGCTAATTCGATCCACAGATTTTATCCATCGTTGCAAGTAAGTTCTGATTGCTTATTGTTGGCTTTCGATGTTACTTACCCTTTGTCCTTCTAGCGTTGGTTATGCGTTCATGAACTTTGGTGATGTGAGTGTTTTTGCTGGCTCTACTTTCATCTGATATTTTACTAACATAATATATAGGCAATTGATATTGTGGATGTGAGTTATACCATGTGTCAGTGTGTGACATGTACTTACCAGTTTCCATTAGCTTGTGCACTCTCGACAGGGCAAGACTTGGTATGTGCCTAAACTTCCCCAGAAAACTGCACGTTCGCTGACTCGAGACAATCACAGGCCCGACTGCATTTCCGAGAAGAGAGCAGAGATTTCTTACGCCAGTTTGTGTCCCATCCATGGTCAATTGGAATGATGTCTAACCAGTTTCAATAGCACTCCAAGGGAAGGAGGCTCTGGTGAACAAGTTCCGAAACAGTAATGTTATGACCCGTCCTCACGAAGAGCGACCTCGAGTGAGTTTAATCCTTCTTCTTTTTCTTTTGTCCCATTCCGGTACCGGTATTGACTGAATATAGCTCTTCCATATCGACGGCCCCCGCGCGGGCACCGAAGCAGCTTTTCCCAGTCCCAATGATGCCAGTAAGCTCCGTCGTTCAGTTGCTAGCACTACTCAGCAAGGTAAGAAAGAGTACGATACTGGCTTGTGGGCATGTTCTGACCCTTTCACAGGCCTCTTTGCACCTCGAAACCGACCTCCCACTACACCTCACACCAACCGTACGCGGCCCCAATCGCAGTCCTTCAGCCAGACTCCGCGAGGTCGAGGATCAATCCGCACTCCCCGGCATTCTGGTGGACGATCAGCCCAGCATGCCCATGGCGAATTTTCTTCGATGCGGGCAGAGGACCGTCAATTCATCTCACCAAGAAAGTAAGCCTTGTGGGCTTACCTGCAATAAGATCGGTTTCTAAGGTCTTGCCAATGTCACCAACTTCCCGCATATGTGTTGAATCGCGAATCATTTTCGAAATATTCAACTGAGCCTTACCCCAGACCAGATGAAATCAAACCGAACCCCCCCCCCCCCCCCAAAAAATCAAAAATCAAAAATCAACAGCAAGATGCTCGATAGTTAAGGAATGAACGTCACACTGCCGTTGACAAGACTCTCGGCATGGCCAGGTTCTGGGACACCCCCAGGCTTTGTTTGACATTCACTGCCTTCTTTTCCTGTTCGAAACCCCCGAAATCTCTGGATACTGAAACATACCTCGCATTCTTGATTTCTGGGTTTCCAAGAGGCTCTTCCTACGTCTCTTTCTTCGATCTGGATCTTTATTTCCCCAAATATTCCTCTACAGAGGGAATCAGAGGCATCTACAGTCTCTCAGAATGGGCATCCTTGCTCGCTCTGCTGATGACATTTGCCTTTGTATTGCATATTTCGAGAAGAAGTTCAACTTTTTCATTTCGGAATTGTGCCATTAATTGCCTCTTTTCTGCGTTTTCTGCGTTTTCTGCTTTTTCTGCTTTTTCTATTTCCTTTTTTTCTTTTTGAAAATCCGGAAAATTCAAAAAAAAATTTCGGGGATGGAGTTAGTCAAATGAAATATTTTTATTGCTATATGGTATGTAGTAGAGAGTAGAGAGTAGAGAGTAGAGAGAAAATATAGAGAGAGAGGAGATAGCAAAACCGGAAACCCCACTTTTCTCTTCTTTTCCATCTACAACATACAACACAATGGACAAGGAAATCCTGGCAGTCCATTCAACGTTGCATCTAATCTTCCATCGCAACAAAAATCAGCATCGTCGAACCAAATGGTGGAAATGGCTATCCATCTTGAAACGCGCCACATTGGATTTCGCCCGATCGGGGGTAAAATCCCACCTGGCCATCGTGATCCCCAGATGTTACATGTATGGAAAAAAAGAGAAAAAGAGAGAAAGAGAAAAAGATATCAAGTTGAAACGAACTAACTGTTTTCTTAGCGCTTTTTCAACTGTCGTTGCCGATAACCAATTCTCTACCCTGGGAATCGTGCTGTTAGCTGCATTGGCGCGACTGTCCAAAATCACCGGGATCAGTCATCAGCTGAAGGTGCAACCTGTGAGCAAGTCTAAGATTATTCCAGTCGCAAAGGAAGATCTTGGGGAACGCATTCGTCGGATTGACACTGTGCCACTCGCCCCAGTCAAGATCTCCCAACCGGATTCCAAGGCCTCAAAAGTCTCCATGGTCTCCCAGGTCAAAGAGAAGTCCACGGAAAAACTTAAAGACGTCCCAAAAACCACGAAAAAGAAAAAGAAGAACGCCATCGATGATTTGTTCAGCGGTTTATTTTGAATCTCATACCCTTCTACGTACAGTGTTCTTTTGGTTTTTGGGGTTTTGGGGTTTCGGGTTTCGGGTTTCGGGGTTTCGGATTACAAGGGATGTCCAGACATGTATTTCTAAACTAAAACAGATTGTTTTATGAACGAGATCGAGAGAAAATAACCTCGCCCAATAAATTGACAGCAACATGATTGGCAGTAGCCCACGCCATACTGTAGAGATATTTGGGGGAGAAAACAGTCCAGATGAAGAGATGCGTCCGGAGGGCTGTACAGGCGGCCATGACCGAAATCAAGGACATGGCAACGTGGAAGGTCAATAGTGCCGAAGGGTCTTGTTCTGGTTTCTTCGGTCGGAGACGATGGCTCTGTGAAGCCCACCAAATAGGTCCTGCCCAGTTGCTCGCAAAGGTGAGAACCCCCACTAGCACCACGCTGTAGCTGTCAATACCGTTATATCCACTAGCAAGGTCCACAGAGGAGATTGCATTGGAGCCGCCAAACGCGAAGAATGTCATATATTGGAAGATCAAGGTTGTGATTGTCACTTCGATCCCTGTGAGGTTCATGGAAGAGAGAATGCCGGATTGAATTCGGAAAAGCAGGAACAAGGGGACGTTAGTGGCACGGGACTGCGTCATTAAGAAGATGTGCAGAGCTTCATGGAATGTATCATGTCCTAAAAAAAGAAGAAGAAAAAAGTTGTGGGTTAGGAACGACTCCAACCTGAAGAGGCAATCTAGAGCATGTGTGGGCTTACCTCGGGGAACTCTTGATCGTTTCCCAAAGAGCGCCAGCAGGACAACGAGAGCAAGTCCACAAAACACAAGCCTGGCATGTAAAACCAACGATAGACTGTAGGGCCATTCCTTCATGATTTGCGAGATGAACGTCCCATCGAGGAGTTCGGGGGATTCCGAAGTCACAAAGTGCAATTTGAACGTAAAGGCCAACACGGCAGGGGCTAAGGCACCGAGCTTCAATATTCTAATGATCGGTATACTCCGGAGAAGATGACGACCAGCATCCACGTACGTGAGGATAAGAAGACCCCAGAAGATTTCTGGATGGCGCGTAAAGAAGGTGCGAGCAATATCAGGCTCGGCCGCGAATTTCTGTCCCGTTTGGTTCCATCGTCGCAAGAGCCGCTGGGTGATTGCGAGCACAAGAATGATGCATTTGTCAGACCAATATATTAATGATCCAAAGCGGTTGCGTAAGGTCGTTTTTGCAGATGATTGCGATTGCGATTGCGATTGCGATTTGATATGCAGGTAGACCATCCATCCCGAGCAGATCCAATACCAGAACTGTTGCTCTTCTTCCACATAGCTACTCGCAAACATCATCATCCCACAGGTGATGATCATGAGCATCAAAAACATCCCGGAAGATCCGTGACGTGTGCATTCCTTGTAGGTGGCCGGAAGTACAAGAAGGCCTGCAACCCCGGTGATCAACAGGCCCAGGGTGAGTCTAGAGACATCGTAGTTACTAGCAGTACGGCTCATGACCTCCTGTGCAATCCTTAAGAACTGCAACAAAGCGGGACCAGCGGTAGCGTAGGAATCATCTCCTTCATCCCTGGTAGAGAGAAGTTGTTGGACTCGAGTCCAAGCACATTGAGCCTCCTCAATACCCGATAGAACTCCTGAAGCACAGGATGTGGTGCCATCGGGGCCAAACGTAGCTACAGGGAATGTAGTTGTCAACGTGTTTAGCAGCTGCTCGGCATTTTGATATAAGATTTGAAGTCTATGAGAACCTGTTTTTTCCGAGTCAGTTCCTGGTTGTTTTTTGTTTTTGTTTTTTTGTTTTTTTTGTTTTTTTTCTCGCTTGGCCGGCTAAGAACAGAGCACATACCATGATCCCACATTTCTAAAAAGTCTGGAATGAATACACCAAGACTGTTTAAAGGAATTGGGATACCAAGAAGCCCCGCCAAGGTTGGAGCAATGTCCGCTTGCTCAACCGTCCGGTAGTACTGCATATCGTCTGACGGTTCCATGGGGCTTTCTCTTCGGCCACCTAAGGCTTCAAATTTGGGTGACATGAAAAGCAACGCGGGGGATGTTTCCCCAGCAGAGGACCCGCCGTGGTTTCCAGCCTCATTCATGCCATGATCTCCGCACAACACGAACAGTGTGGATTGAAGATGGTCTTGTTGCCGCATTGCGGTATAGATTTCAGTCACCACAGAGTCCATCTCATGCTGTTTCGGTATCATGAAAGGACTGGGAGTTGAAAATTAGAGAGCAGCTAAATAATAAGACCGAGAGCTGTATTTACCTTTTCGGGCCAGCCTTATGTCCTATGTGATCCAGACCCAGGTAATGCATGATGAAAGCAGACCAGTCATCCTGGGCAAGCTCGTTAGGAACGTGTCGAGTCACATTATGATCTACTTCCGTGAAGTCCTGCAAGAAGAATCTCAGTTTCAATACTAATACTGCGGATACACAAAACACCTAAAGTACAACTGACCGACACGAAGAAGCTAGTCGTTCCATCAGCTCGGTCAAACATCCCCGGGAAGAGCTTGAGCCAGGTGTCGTCCCCATACATCACAAGCCGTCCTCCTGTGGCCTTTAATTGCGCCAACCAGGTGTCTTGGTATGCCAGTGTTGATGTGGTATCTGACTCTGCGATGTTGAGAATAACATCCAGGAAAGACGGGACTGAACCAGTTGTAATGGCTTTTAATCGAGGCATTGTAACAGTCGGAGCGCTCGCATGGGCAGTGAATGGCAGTGCAGCACCGGACCGGATCAAGCTAGTATCAAATCAGTTACTGATTTCGAACAACCAAATGTTGAATTTTCAAAGTGACACACACCTCTGCGTAAACAAGAAACCCGAGTCGTTCGAATATACAAAGTCGCTGTATGTGAACACCCTTATTAGTTACTGGGATATCTCCGAGGTGAATTGTTTCAAACCATACCTCCTTAGCGCATCGACCACCATGAAGATAACTTTATCAAAGACCGCAGGTGCTGTGGTATTCTCGCCTGTTTGATCAAAAGTCGCTAATCCAGGGATCAGCGGTTTATAAGGGAAGAATCCTGAGGAGAAGGTGAGTATGCCCACAGGCACCAGCAAATTGGCAACGACTGTCGTCCAGCTGCTAAAGCCCGCCATTTTTCAAATTGACTTGGCGTTATAGCTCAGGACGACTTTTATGTCAAGAACCTCAAATCAACTGCACATGTCGAACTGTCCGGGGGAATCCAAAGGCAGAATCGTGTTTATGATCCACACCGCATCATCACACCGCCTTCTCGTCTTACTGTGTATGATTGTAGGATTGTACTCCGTATATCTCGACTTCACGCTTTAACCCCCTCTATTCATGAAGGAAAGGTTGACAATACTGGATGAAGGCATAAATGAGCTAATTAATCTTGACTCGGGTTGCTTGTCGGTGATTTGAAATTAGAGCAACCTATATCGACTCCCCCCGGCCACATTAGGGTTGTTTCCTCCCACCCCCCCCCCACTGATCAAAATCCAAGTAATATCTCAAGCCTTTGATGAAAGGTATGGTATATCAGGTGCAGACTATGAAACATATGTACGTGAACCGCAGGTGTAATTGTTGACTCCCAAACGCCTTTTGTTTTCTTCTCCGCCACACCATTTCGTCAAATAATCCATTCATTGCCCCTCACTCGCCACACGCCTCACTTCCTCTTGGGACCCTTCTTGGCTGTAGATAGACGTTTTTGGAAGACAATCGAGTTGCGAGGCTTCTGGTTGCGCTTCTGCACACGTGCCTGCTTCTTCTTGGAGCTCTTAATTGTGTCGATATCCATCTCTGTATTAGGAAGGTAAGCATTCTTTAGTTCAAGGCAAAAACAAAAAACAGGCGCGATTTCAAAGATGAATTGCCATAGACTAACCTTCGCTGTCACCAGTCTGGGCCTTGGTTGCATTGGCTAAAACAGAATATGAGGTGAGTCGGTGTCCTCGCAAAATGATGGTAGTATACATACCAGCCTCATCCTCGGCTAGGTCCATCTTTGATTTCATGGGGGCTTCAGGTCGTGGCTGTGATGCAAGCTCCTGTAGTTTGGCAGCGAGTCTCTCGGTTCTGGCATCGACCAGTGGGCCAAAGACCTTCTTGCGCAGATTGGCTCTGTTGCGCTTGGAAACGCTGGCTCGGACACTTTTTGCCATTGTAGGATAGAAGGGAAAATAAACAAGGTAAATAAGGGTATCAAGATTTGAGGAATATAGGCCAATAACGTTAAAATTGATGAATTGATGTCGGGGTGGGAAATAAAATGGTCACTGATAACACAATCAACTTTTTTTTCCCGATAGGCTCGTCTTATGTCATCCGGAGACCGCACTTCCAAGGTTCACCTCCGAGGTTCTGTCGACTTGACCTCACCCTTCTGTGTTTGGGGTTTGTGGCCTTTCCCTCAAATTTCACTCCAGTCAAGAAATGTATCGATGCAGAGCCCTTACAATTGGCCTGGCTGAATCGGACCCTTGCCTATCGAGGAACCCTGAACCAAGTCCACCTTGATTGCTTTCGCACTCCTCTTATCTGTGAAGCAGTCATGTCGACCATGTCGTCAGAGGTTGCAACACTGACAGCCTTCATCAAGCCCCTCACAAATCCACAACTAAAAGACTTGTTGAGGTATGAGGGCCTCCAGGTATCTGGGTTGAAGGCAACCCTACAGTTCCGCATTATTCAAAGTTCGTCAATTCTCCAGACTCTTGTTATGACTTGTTCATTCTATGCTCTGCTTGTTTCCCAGTCTTTTCTTCAACTCTTTTGTGTCACATCCCATTCTTATAGAAATCCGTACATTGACCAACGAAATAGGAATCGAATCCCTCGCGGAATCTGACCCTGTCAGTTTCGATGCCCTGGCCAGGCGCATCCGCGCTACTGCTTTCCCAAACACTGTGCCGTATCAATCACCCAATCGACCACAATACCAGCCATCGCCTGTCTCTCAATCTCCTGCACAGTCTCGATCCGCACCGCTTGGGGTTTCCATGTCACCTCACCCATACTCCTCTGGTGGGAGTGCTCCTCTCATGAAACCTCCAGCGGCCGCTCATAAATCTCCAGGTCCTTTGATTTTCAAAGAGAGTCCATTTTACACAATCCTGGAGCCTTTGACTGCAATAGTGGAATGTAAAGGTATGTTATAATGTTCTTTCGAAGCTTGTTGGACATCTCTCTAATTTTATCCAGTTCGCGAACAAACACGGGATAGCGTTGAACTGAAGGTCGTGCTATCTCAGCAAGTTGCCTATAGGCTGCAAACAGACTCCAATCTTCGAGTGATGGTTTATTGCGCCGGTGATTCAGGCCTGACACAATACACCAAGTCGGACATCGCATTTCCACATCAGGTGGAGCTCAAAGTAAATCTCGATGAAGTCAAAGCCAATCTCAGAGGTTTAAAAAATAGGCCAGGGACTACACAGCCTGCAGATGTCACCAACTGGATCCGCAAAAAACCCAATTATCCAAATAATATTGTCATGACTTACGCATTGACGCAAAAGGTTGAGCCCATTCCGTTTCGACTCGGTAGAGTAGATGTTAGACCAATTGACTAACTCTTTTTGCACAGAAGTTCTTTGCGCTTGCCAACCTCGTGAAACAGCATCCGACTGATGATCTTATCTCGCAGTTGAAGACACGGAAACTCATCTCGAAGGAGCAAGTATTACGCGAAAGTAAGAACCCCTTCTACTTCCCTTCCTTGGGTTATGCTATGCTAATCTAGATCTACAGTGCAAAATCGCGCGAATGACTCAGACATTGTCGCGACATCAAGTGTCATGTCGCTTAAATGCCCTCTATCTACCCTTCGTATACAGGTGCCTTGCCGCTCTATTGTTTGCACACATAACCAATGCTTCGATGCGTCTTCATTCCTTGAATTGCAAAAACAAGCTCCAACTTGGACGTGCCCTGTGTGTTCCAAATCGACTAGCTTTGAGTCTCTGCAAGTTGACCAGTAAGTCCATATCCCCTTGACATATCTGTTCATTTTCCTGACTGATTGCATAGGTATGTTGATGACATTCTTCAGTCAACGTCACCAGACATCGATCAAGTCACCGTTGAACCTGATGGTGTCTGGTCAAGCCCCACTGACTCCGACGCGACAAAATTGGGAGGGATGACTCCCGCGTCAGATGACGATGACGACTTGATCGAGATCAGCGAACCAGGGATGCCCGTTGTAAAACAGGAACCGGGACTCCTAAACGTTGCCCTGGAGCGAACACCTGCGCAGTCACAGTCTCAGTCACGAGAGGCATCAACCCCGTCCTCCGCAATGCGCATGTCCAGCAAAAAGCGACCAATTGCTCAGGTCATCGACCTGACTGAAAGCGGTGATGAAGATGAAGAGTCTCCTGCTCCACCTCCTAAAAGACTAGCTTCAAGTCTACCATCCCGAGCCTTTTCTCGTCAGGAGTACCATATCGCGCCTGCCAACAGCCCTCTGAATGGCAGGTCATACCCACCGTGAATTCGGATTTTTTTATTCTACTCAAGCTTTTGTCAAGTTGAGGACCAAAAACATCAGTCGCATATTTCCATGGAGTTTCCGGCGGGGGGGAGTCTTCAAGATATCACAAGTGGCTATGTATCTAGGAGGGATTGTATCATTCTAGTTTTGACCAGTCAATTAGCCTGGAAATATATTGACTATTACTCTTATTTTTAAATAACACACAATACATAAAGTGTTTATATTTTCTTGTATAGATCAAGAGGCCAATATCAGGTGGATTCCGGCCTGGGGAGTTAGCTTAGACTCCCCAACTCCCCCGACTCCCCAACTCCCCCAACTCCCCCATTTTCAAGTCCCGACCATCAACACGCCCTCATTTCGTACATCACCCGGATCCCTTGCTCATTTAAACCTTGAATTTGGTCACATTTGACTCTTCATAATGTCATTCGATTCAACTTCCCCATTAAACACCGATCCAAACGCCCGCGTCTTCAGCTCCTCATGCTTCGACTTTCTACTCATAGAATTGGTGCCAATGGCCGAGCGTATGGCAAAGGAACTTGCGACCGAGGGAAAAGAAACCGAAGATGAAGAGGTTAGAGAGACGACATTCTTTCGTCTAGAGTCTCTGGGTTATCGTGTTGGGCAAGGCCTCGCGGAGCGGTAAGCACGAGCATCTTCTTTTGCAGCCCCTTTGCTTTTCCCTTGCTGTCCTACGGCACGCTAACCCTGTATCGATCTCTATAGCTTCGCCCGAGATCGTCCTCGATTTACCGATAATCTCGATGTGATCAAGTTTCTCTGCAAGGATCTGTGGACGGTCCTATTCAAGAAACAGGTGGATAATTTGAAAACGAACCATCGGGTATGTGCAATACAGAGAGCATTGTGGTCGGGGGGATGCGACATGGCTACACTTGCATGGAAATGTCCAATAAAACTAATGTCGACAATCAATAGGGTGTCTATGTTTTGACCGACAGCGCGTTCCGGCCATTTGGTAGGATGAGCATGGCGGTACGGAGTGAAGCAATCTCCATGGCGCAGGCAGTAAGCATTAACCCCTTTGCCTAATCAATGCGGATATCTTGGCTTATAGATTGACCTAGTACCTCTGGTTTCCTTGTGGTATCATCCGGGGTGCGTTAGCCAATTTGGGTATCAACACCACCGTGCAGGCCGAGACCTCGGATCTACCAGGTGCAACTTTCCAGATCAAAACTCTCCAGCCTCGGCCTTGAACATGAATATGGTTGCGCCTCGGCCTGGGCTAGCCTGTTGCTCAACCAATTTACGCCTACTCTATGACATGACAGTTCCATCTTGCAAAGACCTGGTGGTTCCTTGAATTTACTGCAAGGGTCTTGGATCATTCCAAAGTCTCTTGGCTACATGAGACAGGATACTGCAAACGCGCAAATATGAACGGTAAAACCTGTACTTCTTTCCATTCGCAGGTTGGTTACTATATTTGTGTCCAACCTAACCATCTGATTTCGGACCGTACACTACTTGTGTCTGCTCATTGTTCATAAACTCGTGGTCACGCATTTAAAGCCTATCTTTCCGGGAGAAGATTGATTAGCAACGCTCTGCCATTTTCCAGTGTCATCGCAGTCGTGGAGAAACTAGCGAGAAGTCTACCGACACAAAGAGACCCACCCGATATACGCGGTGGACAACATACCAGGGGAGGATGCCTTACTTTGGTGCAGAGTTCTTGGCGAACTCAACGCCCTTCTCGATGTTACCCTGAAGTCCCTTGATGCAAGCCTCAAGGAGCTTCTTCTCCTGCTCGGTCACACCGTCAAGAATGTTGATGGCCTTCTCAGCACCGTTGGGCTGGATCGAGTATGTCAGTTAGTTGTCTTAACACACTGGAAAATTGAAGACTTACACCAAGTTCCACGGGAGTGGAGAAGAACTCAAGACCGGTGGCCTTGGCAATCTCATCACCGCCAGCAACACCGGGCAGGTAGACGAAAGTAGGCTCAACGATGCCCTTTTCACCCTTGGCAGCCTTGATGACAGCCTCGGCGAATCTAGTATTTGTCAGTGACCGTGGTAGTCCCGGGTTAGCGGGATGAAACATACCTGAAACCGGCAAAGGCCATAGACAGAGTAGCGGAACCAGCACCATCCTTGGCCTTGACGACCTCGTCACCTCCGAATTGGACACCTGTGAAATATCAGCAAATGCTTCCCACAGAAAGGACTGTTCACATACGGTTGACAAGAGCATCGTAACGGTCAGCAGGGATCTGGAAGCTGGGGGAAACCTTGCTGAACAGAGGAACAATAGTCTCGCCAGAGTGGCCACCAATAACGGGAACGGTGGCATCAGCAGCGTTCTTCACGCCGGAGAACTCCTGGGTGAAGGTCTCGGCACGAACGACGTCCAGGGTGGTCACACCGAACAGACGCTTGGGGTCGAAGACACCGGCCGCCTTGAGGACCTCGGCGGCGATAGGGACGGTAGAGTTAACAGGGTTGGAGATAACGAGGATGAAAGCCTTGGGAGCAAACTCGGCGATGCTCTCGACGAGACCCTTCACAATTCCGGCATTGACCTTGAAAAGGTCATCACGGGTCATACCGGGCTTGCCTAGGTGTCACCCTGGACGTTAGCAAAACACCAAACACCATATCCCGATCTGCGGATCTACTAACGGGGAATGCCGGCGGGGATGACAACAACGTCAGCACCGGTCAGAGCGAGCTTCAATCCATCATCCTTGGGGAGGTAACCAGTGATTTTCTAGTCCATTTGTTAGCAGGCTTATTCGCGATGCTTCGGAGCATACATACGGCGACCGAGGAGATGTGAGAGAGATCCGCAGCCACACCGGGGGTGTTGACAACATCATAGAGGGCAAGGTCATCAACAAGAGGGGACGCCTTCAGCAAAAGGGAGAGAGGCTAGATGGTGGATTAGTTGAGGCTCGTAAGAGACCTGATGAGTTAGGGGGCATACCTGGCCAATGCCACCAGCAGCTCCGAGAACAACTAATAACAAATCAGCAAATGATGGACAAAACAACCGAATAACATACCAGCTTTGACCATGATGAATTATGTGTGTATGTGTGTAAAGAGAGAGGGGAGAAGAAGGGGGAATATGGGGGAGGAAAGAAGCTTGAAGAGGGGACCGGCCGATTTATAAGAGGGGCAAGTGCTGGAGAGGGGCAACCCCGGAATACTCAGTCTGGAGTGTTTTATGTCGGCATGTGAAGTGACGATGTTCAGCTTTATTCACCTTATTCACCTTATTCACCTCGATTTTACTTGATTTTACTTGATTTCGCTCTATTTCGCTCTATTTGGCTTATATTTGGCTTATATTTCGCTCATATTTGGCCATACCTGTACTATATCTCAATAGAATCCTTCAATCCCCATACTCTCATCTCTCTATAATACTTGACCTTTCTCCAGACTCTTCCGGCAATTCTCGTCCCCTCAACGTGAATTGTTCCAAACTTCCCCGGGCTACCGGGTTGTCATATCGGGAAAAGGCGGACTATAATATTCTTATAGACCGGACATTGTGGCCCGGGCCGACCAGTCGGTTGTCAATCAATTTTTACTATACCCTTGGCTGATTTCTTTTCCGTTCCGATTAACAGGAATTATCCTCTGTTTTCTTTTTCTTTAGGTCTCAGAGAGGACACTGATGTTTTGTTTTGTTTTTCTGTCCTCGGAGCAAGACTGCTAGATTACATGGGTCCCAAGTCCAGCATGGCGTTTTACATACGCCTATCAAGTCTCCTCCCCCAAAATCCCCGATCCTTCATAGTCCACAATTCAGCCTCATCTCGAGACAAATTTACTCGGACTCCTCAGCCTTGCGGGCCTTAGCGCCACGGGGCTTCTGGGCAGGAGTATCCTTCTTGGGGAGCTGGGAGCGGCGGACAGCGCTGACACGGGCGACGGCCTCCTCGCGGAGATCAGCACGGTAGTTGTTCTTAGCAGTCTTGTCGGCAACACCCTTGTAGATCCTGAAGAGCAGATAATGATTAGCCCTGGGTCGTGACAGCAACATGCACCATGTCTTCGAGGGGGGATTCCACTTACTTGCGGGTGGAGGTGCTGGGACCGTAGGTCACAGTGACCACGTTCTGAGCGGGCTGCTGGGGGTTGCTGGGCTTCTTGGTGATCACGGCAACACCGTTCTCAGTAGCCTGGACACCGACAGCCTGAAGGTATAATGGTTAGCGCCACAGATCTTTTTTCTTCAAAAAAAAAGTGAAACACCAGTAGTGTAGAGCATAATTACCTTGTTGTTGGCATAACCGGCATACTATAATGCGCCAAAAGAGAGACCCGTCGTTAGCCATGCATTCCTGGAGAGCATCATCCATCCCGTCTAATTCCCGAGGCCCGTACCTTGTAGGAGTGCTTGTTCAGCAGGTTCAGGGGGTCCCGGGAGAACTGGAAGCCACCGGCGGAGTTGCGGTTAACCAGGAAGGAGTTCTGGTTGCCTATTCCAAAGGTTGATGAGCTAGAGTTCGGTTTCCAAAAGCTATGACATAAAATTTCGAAAGGAAAAAATCGGAAAATCGGACATACGGGTGATCTGCCAGACCAGATCGTTGGAGATGTTTGAGGCCATTGTGATGAGAGGGGGATGTTGAGTTGGAGAATTGAAAGATCGAAGTCGCTATCAAAACCGTCTTCACGTCGATCAAATTGTGTGTGTCTCGAATGCCAAGACCTCAGATTCGACGGGGTCTCGCTAAGGCGGCTACTTTAGGAATAGCATTGGTGCCTTGGTGCCTTGGTGTTTCAGTGTGATGCCTTGGTGCCTTAATACCTGAATACCTGAATCATGTCATCCCTCGTTGCCTGGTTGGTGAGGCATATCTGACAGCTTCCGGCGACCTCCAGGCTGCCAATAATATGAACGCGATGCTGACGTTGCCCCCTCCAAACTCTCTAATCTTCCTATGCCTTCTTCATCAACGGCTTATTGCCTGATGGGACAAGTCATCTCTTAGCTCTTTGGCGAAATACTTCTCCTTACCTCGCAATATCGCAAAGCTCTATACTATTGTTAGTTACTACACGCCGGAATCTTCACCAGTATCACTCATCGTTATGACCTACATTCTCTTTTATTTCTTACTCTTTTCAGTTATCACCGGCGGGACAGGTAGGTCAAATGTCTTTCCAACTCCACCGGAAACAAAGCAATCATTCATAACAACTTTGGTTCTAATTTCAATATAGCGTTATACCTTACTCGGTCACGATGGATACCATTAGTCCAAGTGCCTGATTATCTCTATCACCGTCTTCCCTCAAGTTTTACCGCCGATCTCGAGGCCGGCCTAAGCTCGTCACAATTCGACATTACTGCCAATCTTGCAGACGGGGATTCGAGGGCTGGCTTGGATCAACGAGCAAAGACCGAGGTGATCAAAATTATGAAGAGTCGAAAGGTCAATTTTGATGAAGCACGGCGGATATACACGGAGCAACGATTTGCAAAGAATAACATCGGGCCGGACGGACGGCCAAGGGACCCCAAATTCGTCTCTTTTTCGTGATAAGCCTACAACCATGTCGCCAATCCTAACATGTTTCCTTGGCCATTATCAGAGCGGACATCTTGCTAGCAGAATCTGTACAAAAAGGTCACGGCTTTCGCCCAGTAATATCTCATTTTTGCTATCGGAGCACTTGGTTACTACGGTTTACCACTTCGGCCGGTGGATCTCTTGTGTCTGTGAATGATCCTTGGCAATTGAAACCTTTTAAGTTGACGTGCTATCAAAATACAACAAGTCTTTCTGTTTTTGTCTGTGTCCAATAGACATAGACACTTAATATTACATATGACCAACCAGCGCTGCCAACAACCAGTCAGCGTCAATGATCCAAGACCCCCGTCCGCCCACCGCGCTAAATATGTTCGAGGTAGTCACGCAAGAGAAGATCAAACACACGGACCACCGGTTTGGTCCTTGGGTCATCAAATCATGTCAAAAGAAAGAAAGAAAGAAAGAAATTTCACCTCCCGTAGTGACGAGAATAGTGACCAGGGCATAGCTTTTGTGAGAGAGATGGATTTTCAAGTACTGAAAGCCACTGGGAATCACCGAGTGCTTCCGTATCCGGGCTGTTGGAATCCCGGTGGCAATGAAGGGGCCCCAGCCGGAGGTCCAAATCCAGGCGGCGCAAATCCAGGGGGAGTTGCAGCCTGTGGGACGAAGGACGGCTGACCTGCACCACTGAATCCAGGTGGCAAAAAGGATTGCGGGCCGCCGTAGCCAGCTTGAGAGGGGGGAGGTCGGGCTGGAAGCCCGGGGGGTGGGGTATTGAGTGAAGGGACGGGAGGTGGAACATGTCGGTTTGGAGGGGGAGCGGTCTGGTAGGGCATTGGAGGAGGTGCACTCTGGTATGGCATAACTGGTGGCATACCCCGATTCATGCCTAGATCGGGTGTTTGTGGCGGGGCTGTGCTCAAGGGTCGAGAGCTGTCGCCGTTCGACATAACAGGCGTTGCTGATACACCAGGGGGAGCGCCAGGGAACTGCGAAGGTTGCTGAGTCGGTGGCTGTACATTATGTTTGCGAGCCTGGGCTGCCAACATTCGCTCCGCTTCATCACCATGTCTCTCGCCTTTTCCATCCTTCTTGTACGCATACTGCACCGAAACTTGTTTGTTCATCAGGTACTGGCCATTCATGTTGGAGATGGCCGCGTCCGAGGATTCGAAATCAGCAAAAGAAACAAATCCGTATCCCTTCGACAGATTGCTGTCATCACGAGCAATCTATATAATAATAAAAAAAGACACCGTTAACGGTGTCCACCTTACTAATATTGGGGGAAAACTCACTTTAGGGGGATTGACAAGATTGCCAAAGCGACTGAATGTATCAAAGAGAACCTGCTCGGCAACCATAGGATCAAGATTACCCACAAACAGCTCTGCACCAATTTCCACAGTCTTTTGTTTATCGGCTGATGCCTTGTTAACACGAATAGGCTTGCCATGGAGACGGATTCCATTCATGATCTTTGATGCATATTCGGCATCCTCCTCGCTGATAAACTCAACAAATCCATACCCCTGATGTAACTGCGTGACCCGGTCTTTGGGTAGATGGACATTGACGATACGCCCAGCCTGCAGCATCAACTCCCATACTAGGCTATCTGAGACCCGTTCATCAAGGTTTCCGATGTAGACGGTTGCCTCTTTATCTTGTTCCCTGGGGTTAGTTAGCATCAGGAGCCTATAGTGAGGAAAGAGGGTCTTACCAATGTCTTGCGTTGGACATGGCGCCGGTGAATTAATTGGAGAGAGGGGGGGAAAAGCTCCCCCTAAAGGAAAAGGACTTGAAGTTCCAAGTAAAACGAATAGGCTGTGAAATTCCTGTTGGTAAAACTTTGGACCAACAAAGTAGACTAATGTGGGTGGAAGTGGAGAGGTAATGAGGTGTGAAAGTGTTGAAGTGAAGGAAAGCCGGAGAGCTGAGGGAAGATCAGTGACCTTTCCCGAAAACTTTTGATCCCGCAAATCCTCCCTGTTTCCACTTCATCTATCAACCACATCTCCCACTTGTTCCTTTGGATCGACTTTGAACCGACTTCAATTTATTGTCCTTAATCTCCTTGAACCCTCCCTAACTTCACTCTCATATATTCGCAATGGTTCAATTCTCCGAGGAGACCAAGGTTCGTCGTAACCCCGGTCCTCCTTGAGACCGAGTTTCTAACTCTCTCTTTTTAATCTGTTTAGGAGCGCGTCTCAAAGGTCATTGATATTTCTCGGGTTGCGATCCACTAGTGAGCCTCATATCACCTTCATGCCATCCTCCGAGCTGACCGGCGATAACCATCTAGCGGATACTTGCCTCTGATCGTCTATCTGGGTATGTATATACCTGGCGTTCCCAACACAATAAATTAACCAAAAAAAAAAAAAAACAGGTTACACCTATAGCGAGCCCAAGCCCACATTGTTCAGGTATGTTTCAAACTCCTTTGATTCCAGCTGTTATGACTAACTTGACACCTAGATTGTTCTCGCCTCTTGCGTAAACTACATGTTGACTGGAGAAATGATGCGGGATATGTGGATGGGATAGATATGGCCCAGTATATTCTTGGACAACCTTTTGATTATTCCCTCTGTGAGGGATTATGGGTTTGAATATCTAGACGCCACTGTTGAAAGCTTGTGAAAGCTGGATGATTTTGTATTTTTAAGTCTTTGCCCGAATATTTGTCCGCTTTGGTACGGAACTACTAAACTGCTGTAGCCCTGCGGTATCTCAGAGTAAACACTGAGCTTTGTGTAAATGCAAAAGAAATTAGGAGGTTAGAGTGTCGCGGTGCTGTTACTATAACTCCGGGGCTAGTTATGTACGGAGTTACTCAGCGGTCACATGTTCCGACGTCCTTGGAATAACTATTCATCTTTCTCTATCTTCCTCCGCTCTGACATCATTCTCCGTATACTCTCCCCCTGTGTCTCCATCCATCTCTGGATGTTCAAATTTCATATCTCCGTCTTAAGTCAGGTTCATGACTAGTCAAGATGGCTTCTCGTCATCCTTTGTGGAGACCGTAGCAGGATTCACAGCGGGAATTGTGTCAACTCTGTCTCTGCATCCTCTTGACATGGTCAAAACGAGACTACAAGGCAAGCTTCAATTTTATCTTGGCTCCTCTTGGGTTATAGAGTGACTAACCCTGTTTTCATATATGTAGTCGATCGATCATCTTCGCAATTTGGGGGTTCACTGCGAATCATTCGCAATATCTTCTCTCATGAGGGTGGCTGTGTCGCTTTTTACCGAGGACTTACCCCCAATCTTATCGGAAATTCCACAAGTTGGGCGTTGTACTTTTTATGCTACAGCAGCTTGAAGGATACCATTCGAGCCTATCGCGAGGGGAGGGAGCAGATTCTCACATCGTCTGATTATCTTCTCGCATCTGGCAGTGCGGGTATGCACCTATCATGTCCAATTCAGCATCGTTTCTCCGTTCCTCAGTTAACCTGTGAATCTCCATAGGCGTTATTACGTCGGTCCTCACCAATCCAATCTGGGTGATCAAAACTCGCATGTTGTCAACAGGATCGCATGCTCCAGGGGCGTATTCTTCATTTGCATCCGGGGCCAAACAGATATACCAGGTGGAAGGAATACCCGGCTTTTACCGAGGTCTCATACCAGCCCTATTTGGCGTCAGCCATGGTGCCCTTCAGTTTATGGCATATGAGCAGTTGAAAAACTTCAGATTCCGGTCGATGAATACCATGGACTCAATTGAGGGCAGCCATTTGGGCGCCGAGCGGGCACTGGGTAATGTTGATTTTTTGGTCATCTCCAGTCTATCAAAAATCTTCGCTGGCAGTGTGACGTATCCTTACCAAGTAATTAGGTCCCGGTTGCAAACTTATGAGGCCCACCTGATCTACCGTGGGGCCATTGATGTTTTTTCCCAGTTATGGGCTCAAGAGGGGATTGCGGGTTTCTATAAGGGTCTTGGTCCAAATCTCTTCCGGGTCCTTCCAAGCACGTGGGTGACCTTCCTGGTATACGAGAATACTAAGGTCTACCTATTTCGGCTGGCGCAAAAACCATGGAATACTTCCTACTGATTTCTGCCCATCCTTATTGTATCAATTTGATCTTACCAGATACTACCTGCCTTTAATTGGGCTTACAGGAATGTCCTAATTTGTGTATTCGCCGATTTACATTATAACCCGATAGGATGCATATGGAATGCAGTTGGGTCTCCATTTCGACGCGCGCCCCCCCATCACCAAACTCCCTTTATGATGATCTAGATGATTCTGTAGTTTGCATTGTATATAAAGAGCTACACAAATATTCCGATCTTATTACCTCCTAGAGGATTAGCGCTTCGAAGTTAGTCCTAATAGCTGATAAAATTAGACTTTGTTAGCTTAAGAAGCTCTTTATTCCTAGTACTTCTTTACGTCCAAAAGGGGGGGTATTAGTTTTTAATACTCGACGGCTATAGAAGTTATTTAACGCCTTAATTTAATAAAATTTACAACGTATTTCATATACGAGTGGTCTACCCTATCTAAAACGCGTCAATTAATTTAACCACTATTTCTTCAACTACCTACTTGTTACGATATAACCAGACGTGAGGCTATTCCTAGATTGGTGCCTTAGGCCTATAGGAGGTTTGACCTCTCCGGAGGGGGATCGCCTATATTTCCCTATCCTTCCGAGAAGGGTTCCCTATAATTACGGGACCCCGCTCTACGTATTATATTTCCTCCCGCTATTAATATAGGGAGACTATATATAAATTAGACTATATAGAGGAAACCTAACGGTTCTTTAAGAAATAGTCTTTAACTTTTAGAACTACCTATTTTATTACCTTCTCCTACCTAATTAATAGGTACCTACCCTAACGTATTCGGTAAGCGAGTAGCTACTATAAGCGAGTGGCCACCCTAACTAAAACCTACTAATTTAAATATATATACGTTAACCAAAACTCTATTAAATTGAATAAACTAAAATCATTATCTATCTAGACATATCTCTCTTCTATATCCTAGCTTCCTATATATTCTATACCCCTGGGGGGGCCGCGTACGTGGCTAAATAGCCGATTCTCTAGGTATACCGGGGCCGGGGGAGGTACTTTAGTTGCTTCCTATTGCTATATAATTAATATAGAGGCTTCTTAAACTAAGAGGCCTTCTTCTATAGGTATATACCTTCGGGATCTAGTACGTTTTTGTTTCTACTTCTCGTTAGCGGCGCGTAATTCCTTATTTTCGTTAGCGAGTAAGATAGTACGTTATATTATAAGACGGAAGCCCTTTATAAGCTAGTTTAATATACGATCTAATAGGCTAGGCGGGCTCCGAGATCTTATATAAAGTAGAGCTTTAATTAATAAAGCCTATCGATATAGTTCTTTCTTTATAAAGGGGGTTTTTAGGGTAAAATTCTAGCTTAATTTACTCCCCCTACTTAGAGGGGGGGTAGATATTCGGAGCTAGATATTAAGCTTTAAGATTACTCGGTTAGGTCTAAATAATACTAAACCGGCTACTATAAAGCTATTTTTAATCGTCTCCGATTTAAAGGCTTTAATTCGTATAAAGGGGTATACTTCGAGGAAGTTAAGTTTATTAATATAGTTAATCCCGTTCTATATCTTAATTTTAACTATCCGACTATATATACGTTTTAATACTATAAAATAACTAATATCTAGAGGTTATAATAGATAAGATAAATATACTAGTATATAGATTAGTATTACTTTATTTTACTTATAAATTTTATTAAATTAAAGTATTAAATAACTTTTATAGCTATTAAGTATTAAAAGTCGATACCCCCCCTTCGTATATAAAGAAGTAGTCGAAATAAAGAGCTTTTCGAGCTAACGAAGGCTAATTTTATCGGAGGTCTAGCTATTAGGACTAACTTCGAAGCGCTAATCCTCTAGGAGGCTATCGAACTATAATTTAATAAAGACTTTACCTTTAAAAACTATATATAGAGGAAGGGCCTAGCTAGAAGTATTCGTATACTTAATAATAGTTATCTACTCTTAATTTCTAGGTTATAAAACCGGCCTCTAACTATAGTATTTACTCCTTATAATAACCTTTATAGTTATAGTTAATCCTATTATAAAGCCGGTCTTATCGAAGTTATAGATATCGTTAGGGTCGATCCTAAATTAAAGGATAGTTTTTTAAATAAGATTAAACTACCCTTAAATAATTTTAGGGTCTTTATATTTCGCGCGCTCGTAATTATATCGTTTCGAGAATTAGGAGGAAAGGAGAGGATACCGTTTTATATAGTTAAATATCTATTTTTCGCTAACCGAAAGAACTAGGGTAGTTCTACGCTTTTAAAGAAGAAGATCTACTATTTCTCGTACTATAGAGGGCCGAGGGGCCGCTCTACGTAGATCTATAGAGAGAATCTATTTTTAAAGAGACTCCTCTTTAATTTTAGTCAATTTCGAGCAATTAGCGTATAAAATTACGCGGTATTATACTCTATTAATTCGGCGGCGGAGAGTTATACGCGGGATATTAAATATATACGTAGTAAGAGAAATAGAGCTAATATCTCTATTTTTAAAAGCCTAGATAGCTAATAAGATCCTACCCTCTTACTCTATTAAATTTCTAGAGGATTAAGAGCGTATTAGTAGTATAGTAGGTAGTTAAATTAACTAAGTACTAATTTATAGACGCGTTTTTAGTTAGGGTAGCTACTCGCTTATAGTAGCTACTCGCTTACTA